AGAACCTGAACCCGTCACATGGCCTGCGCCCTGGGCCTCAGGGCTCAGACCTCAGACCAGCAGTCTCAGAAGCACCTGAGACCAAGGGCGAGGTCAAGTCCAAGCCCACCACCAAGGCCAGGCTGCAACCCCGTCTTCAGAGCCGAACCACCCTCTTCCCCTCAGAGCTGCCCCACCGCGCGTCTCGTGGCGGAGCCAGCCTTGCGGCCAGCGAGGAACAGGTGCGTGTGCTGCCACGAGGGGCTGCCACAAGGGGTGTTGGCTAGTCTGGGGGTCCTGTGCCCTGGCTTGGGGCCTCCCAGAGGAGACTGGGGGCTGAGGCACCCACACGAAGTCATGCTGCCATGCTGCTATGGAGAGGGACCCCTCAGTGCCCTTGTGCTGACGCAGCCCCTGCAGGACGGTGCCTGGGCTGCCTCGGGGCTGCTGCCTCCTCCCCAAGTGAAGAAGGCAACCCTGAGGCACCCCCACCCCCAGATCCTGCACAACCCTCACCACTGGGACCATGAACTCCGCAGCTCCTCACACAGTCGCCGTGGCCCAGAGCAGGAACGTTCTCCTAGCAGCTTGGGAGCAAGTGACAGCATCACAGAGACACCGGAGGCCAAGGCTGATGAAGCCCTCAGCCCCTTGGGGTGCTGCTTTGTCCTCTTAGTCCCAAGGTGGGAGTCTCTCTGAGCACGCACTCGTCAGATGGCACCTAGAGCCCCTCTGTGCAGGAGCGCATGTGACCCAGTGACGCTACAGCCCCCAGCACCCCTGTGACGCCAGGCATCTCTGTCCCTGCTTTGACATGTGCAGGCTGAGGCCCAGAGAAGACACCACGTCCAGGGCTGCCTGGCGAGCAGCTGATGGGTCAGAATAAAAGCCACTTAGGCTGGGATGGAGGAAGGGTGCCAGGGCGCTACCTGTGATGTGAGGATTTGGGGGAGGGGTACCTGGATGGAGAGACTGAAGTGTGGCCAAGAGGGCAGGGCAGAATGTAACCGGCCCCAGACCTTCCCACCTCCTGGTCTCTGAATATCACTTCCTCCAGGACGTCTCCCTGAGTCCTGGCGGGTGTCCCTCCCACAGAGCGCCTGCTCTCCCCTTCTGGCAACACATTCCCATCCTGCACCCCCACTGGACAGTCACCTCTGGTGATGGAGATGGCGAAGCAGCAAGCTCTCGTCCTCATCTGTTCCCCAGCGCTCCCTCCACCACTTTCCTCTCCTAGAGGGTCCCCGCCGCAAACTGAATTGCAGACCTGTGCCATTCTGGTGGCCCCTGGTGACAGTGAGGTCATCTTCCTAAACTCTGGGTCACTACCCAGGAGCCCGTCAATGGCAAATGAGGGTCTCTCATCAGAAGATTCCTCTGGGAAGAGAAGGGTCCCCTCTGCCACCAGGTTCCCTGGGCTGGTGTGAGGTCAGTCCCAGGACCTCCCTGTAGGTCACCCAGGATGTCAGCTGATGACCCAGAATATTAAGAAGAGGCTTGACCACTCGCCCACACTTGGCCCCAAGCATAGGGGGGCCTTTCCTGTCTCCAGGTGGGGATTCTCGCATCTGAACAGGTGTGCGTGTGGCACCTTCTCCACTCGTCAGGGAATCAGGGCTCCTGCACGCTCCCTGGCTGTCTCCGGTCGGAAGTCCCTGCGGAGCGGAGCCCTGTGAATTAATGGGGCAGCCGGGGTGGGGAGAACAGAGCACCGGGCTTAGAGCAGAAGTCTTCTCTTCACTTAAGAGATCTGTGACCTTGAACCCAACAATTGACCCCTCTGCGTCCCACTTTAACGGGGTGGTTGTGAGGCTTCACTGAGCTCACGTGTGTGCAAATGCTTTCTATGAATGGGAAGGGAGAGAAACAGGATTCCATTATTTGACATGGTTGCAAATACCGGCTGCCTTCCTGCTTTGGAGCCACCACACTCAGTCCTGGACCCATGTGCCCAAGGGTCCCTCATCCACCCAGAGACAAAGCTTAGAAGTTTCCAGAAGCTCTCCCCGCCCCTTTTCTTTTGCGGCTGCCTCCAGCACCGTCCGCCAGCGTCTGCTGTGCAGCCTCCTTCCTCGGGTCCCTGCACTCTCTTGCCCGACTCCCCAGCTGCCCCTCAGCTGCTGGGCATAGCTGCCGAGACCCCTAGCATCCAGCCCTCTGCCCACCTCCCTCCAGACTCAAGCCCGGTGACTATGCATGGCCCTACTTACCACTGGCTCAGCTGCTGTGAAACAGGAATCTGTAGTGTTGGTGACTGCAACACACAGGCTTTCAGTCTCTCATTTGAGTTCAGAGGGGAGCGGTGCAGGGCCGGCTTGACAGTTGCACCAAGCCATCCACGGCCCACGTTCTTTTCATCTTTCTGCTGTCGTCCTTAGCACCTGGCTTCCATCTTCAGGCTTCCTTCGTGGCCAAACAGAGCTGCCTGAGTGCCGACCTTTAGGTCTACATTCCAACTGTGGGAAGAGGAAATGGAGAAAGGAAGAGCACAGGCACACCTCCCGACAAGGGCAACAGTCTTTAACAGCCTTCTCTTGAATCTCTGGCAACACGTCTGTTCGTGCTCCATTAGCTGAAACGAGGCAGCGTGTAGCTGCAGAGTCTAGAAAAGCAGCTTTTACTGGGCACACCACACCCCAAATAACACGTGGGCTATTACTAGGGAAGAGGGAACCAGTGGGCACTCGGTGGCATTCCAGTGATGTTCCAGGGAGGCCCGCAGGAGCCCACGAGGCCTGGCTGTTCTGGAATGACAGAGATTCAGGGCGTTTGTCCTGCTGGCCTCCTCTCTCCTGCGTGAGGGCGTCTCCGGAATCGGCCTGTTGCCCTTTGGTGGATTCTTCAAACTTACACGATGCATCTTAATGGACCGACGAATTCGTGTCTCGCTTCAGAGCTGTCTCCTTCTGTGTCTTTGAGAAGCGAGGCAGAGCGCAGACATGAGTGTTCCGGGTAACTGAGCCTTCTGGATAACCCAGAAACCTCAAAAATACATAGTCATGTGTATGGAGAAGTTTATAAAAGGTAGCATATGCGCCCCTCCAAAGAACAACATAATTAAGCAGAGTATGGACATCATTTAACTCCGCCGTAATGACAAAGCCGTAATGAGGGACATCAATCGCGGTGCTGAGCTCTGGTTTCCGGGGCACCCTCGGGGCGGCTGACATGGGTAGGGCCATTTGTCCCTGCACAAAACGGCCCCATTTGTTTTGTTTTCCTAATTCCTCTCACTGTATTTTTATATTATTATTACTTTGTCTAGCGTGTCCTTCCGGAAGGCACTACAGCTTCTTGGTGCTGTCACTGGGTCCTGACCATTCTTGGTTTTGTCACTTTGTTCCCTGGGATGCTGTGCGGCCCCGGGCCTGAGTGTGTCTCCAGGCCTCTCTTCCCGTGGAACATTCCTGCACAGAGGCCCGGCCTGCCTGTCCCCTTGGTCGACGTTGCGTTCCGGATGTGCCGGGTTGCCCCGGCACTCAAGTTCGGGCACGGGAGGAGTCAGCGACTCTCTGAGGCCCCACTCGGATCTGTTGCTGCTGCCGCCGTGGGACACGTCACTCCTCAGCGGGTGGGACCGCACAGTGGTCAGAGCCGGCCGTGGGAGGGATGCCAGCCGTGCCGTCGTTTGCCCTGAGGACTCATCTGATCCCGTGAAAGTCTGGAGGGTCCCGGGCCTGCTACGGATATGGTGGTGGCTTTCCAATTTACACCGAAGGGAGCTTTGACCAGCAGAGCCTTTTCCTACCTTTACTCCCTAACGTGGATTCTTGGTATCTTGGAGAAAATAAAATTGAAGAGAAACATGGAATCTTGGCTTCGTGGGATTCTGAGCTATTCATATATTCATAAAACAATAGCAATTTGCAAATGCACCGTTTTCCCTGGAAGCAAATGAATATGCAACAATCCATTAAGGTGCCGAGTTAAATACAGCAAATGCAAATCACCTTAATGATCATATTTACAAAATAAGTTACCTTTATTTTAAATAATTATATGTGCGTTTAGCTCTCCAAATGAAATCGGGAAGGTTGGAGACCCAAATTTGCGCTTCCTTCGAAAGCAGACCGTGGGAAATTGACTCTAACCCAGGTGAGCTCCCGGTTTGTCCACTCACGTCATTTCTGAGTCCCTCTGATATTTGCAAGAACATGAGATTTTTGGTTTTTCAGACTGTTTGTTGTTTCTCCACCAAGATGACCTCATGGCACTACTCCAGTGCTCTGAGGTGTGACTTCTGTGACGCAGAGGCTGCGGACTGAGGCGCCCACCCGTTCGATGCTGATGAGAAGGTACCGAGGCATTGTCTTTATTTATTTATTTTTGAGACAGAGTCTCGCTTTGTTGTCCAGGCTAGAGTGACTGCCGTGGTGTCAGCCTGGCTCACAGCAACCCCAAACTCCTGGGCTCAAGCAATCCTCCCGAGTAGCTGGGACTACAGGCATGCGCCACCATGCCCGGCTAATTTTTTTTATATATGTTAGTTGGCCAACTAATTTCTTTCTATTTATAGTAGAGGCGGGGGTCTCGCTCTTGCTCAGGCTAGTTTCGAACTCCTGACCTCGAGCAATCAGCCCGCCTCGGCCTCCCAGAGTGCTAGGATTACAGGTGTGAGCCACTGCGCCCGGCCGAGGCATTGTCTTTAGAGCTACAGTCGGCCGCAAGGACTGCGGAGGCCACAGGCAGAGGAGCAGGGGAGCGGGTTTCGGGGTGTCCCAGGTGCTCTGCTGCACACACACACCCAGGGGATTGGAGCATCATCCACATCACCAATGCCACCCTACCTGCACTTCTATCAGATCACATATGCACATGCACACATGAACATCCCCAGTTTTACCAAATGAAAGAATAAAGAAGGAGAAGCCATCATCGTCCTAATGAAACTCTCTCACACTCTCCTGCTAGCCTCCACGGGATTGTTCTCATCGTTATCACCTAAGTGAAGCCAAGTCAGGATTCTGAAAACATGTCTGAGTGACAGGACCGATTCTGAGCTATCTGCAGAGGGGCCGTGTTCCTGGTTTGAAGGGTGCTGGCGCGTCTTCCCCAGGCCGCTCAGAAGGGCCAGCTGGCTGGGCCGTCTCCTCCTCCGAGCCGCGCTGACCAGAGGCAGCGGCCCAAGAGAAGGCAAAAGGGACTCGGCCCAACAGGCTGCCGGAGGACTGCGTGGCATCTTCCATAAATCACTTCCTGGCCACCAAAGACTACAGAGGATAGAAAAAGGTGCATGTACCAACATCAGCTGAGATGATGGAAGAATTTGGCAAATCAGTAAATGTGATGAGAGTGAGAGGTTGTGGTTGTTTCGAACGTTGCCCAAAGAGCAGGACTCAGAACAACAGAGGCAGAAAGATCAGGAAGCACATTCGTCTGTATCCTGTAATAGAAGAGGAAAGATACGTCTAAACTTATTCAAGATTTAGCTATGGGAAAGAATGGAGGAAACAGTGACTGCAGTCAGAACGGCAGAGCCGTCACCACCAGGGTACCCACTTGGTTATGCTACACTGTCTTTTTCTCAGATAAGTCATCTTAAATTAAATATTAAAGATTAATAAATATCATACCCATAATAAATGACACGCACTAATTTAATTAAAAATAGATGGTGAATTTTACAAACGGGCATTCTTGTAATGATATAGAATGGACTTGTTATGCTAAAAATGTGCCGTCTTGAAAATGTGCAATCTCCATGCACATTTCACCCTTATTGTGTCTCATTAAAATTTTAAAAATAGCTATTTTAATTGTCAAGCATTTGACAGACTGCTATAAAAACTTGACACTTAAGTTTCAATTTTACAATATGCATTTTAATGGCTCCTTTCTCTGCATGTTTTGTTATCCATAATCTAGTTTTTTTTAAAAAAAAAAATTAAAATGTCATTTTCCAATAGTTTTTTAGAGAACAGAGTTGAGCTTGCTGCGGGGCTGCAGGAAAACATGTTTAAATCTTTACAAATAAATATGAAAATTAGAATTATATGTTATTTCCACTGCAGACTGTGGTTTGGTTGTTGGTTTCAAGCCTGGGGGGGGGGGCAGGGAAGGAAAGGAAGGTGCTCGGGGGAGCTCCAGCCAGACAGGGGGTGGGGCGGCTGTTGGAGAATTTTAGCACCAGCTTTTTAAACGGATTTCCCATTTCCCCCACTTGGGATGTCAGACAAGGTGACAGCTGTGACTCACAGTAGCCACTGCACACGAATCTCTATTGGCAAAAAGGACACTTACAAGTAGATCCCAAATGGCGCCGTGAAAAGCCTCACACCGTCCGGAAAAGCCGAGTGAGTCCTGGAGGCGTTGAGGTCTCCTTGCCGTGTTCTGAGAGGAAAATCCCACAAGTCAGGGCTCTCCAAACACCCAGCCTTTAAGGAATTCGAGTTTCTTTAAGATCACACCTGATAATATCCTGCCAAATAATATTTTATTGGTTGTCAGATCTAGAGTTGCTTTGGATAAGCAAAAAACAGTATTTGGATAAGTAAAGGAGGACATTATATTGACAGATCCCCACTGTGGATACCAAGGGCGATTCAATGTGCATCTGCCAGGCACCGGCAGAGTGGGGGCGCTTTCCTGCTTATCTTCATGGGGACCCCAAAGTGGAGTCTTCACCTTCCGTCTGCACAGCTGGCAGCACTGGGGCTCACAGAGAGGGACTGACCCACCCGTGTGCCACTAGAGCACAGCTAGTCAGCAACAGAATCCGAGAGCAGCTTGGATCCTCTGACGGTGACTGTCTAGGAAGGCCCCCATAGTGAGGATGTCCTGCAGGCTTTGGCGACATCATGGGCTGACACTTAAAAACTAGAGTGAGCTGTTTCCAAGTGTCAGGTCCATGAGTTCATTCATCCAGGTTTTCAGCCACCGCAGCTGATGGAGGCCAATGGGGACTTCCTCCCCGCCCTGGCCCTGGCGTGCACACTGCCCACCCCCCACACCATGTGCCACCCAAAGAGCAAGGCCCGGCTCAAAGCATCAGTCAACAACCCCAGCTTCCTCCAGTCTTAGGTGTGGACCTGATGCTGGGAGTACAGCCCATCCCTGCATTCGTGGCTTTGATTCACTGGTCACAAGCAGGTCTCCATGTGCCCTGCTCTTGTGTTCAGATCAACCAAAGGCGCCCCTCCAAGGGAAAGCAGCATCCTAGCCCTGCGGAGCATGGGATCGTTTGCAGAATGGCAAAGGGAAGGTGTCAGTCTCTTTTGAGCCGTGAGTAGATCAGGGCTGCACAAGGCTGTCTTGGGAGGTCAGGGCTGTCTCCCTCACTGGAGAGAAGAATGCAGTGGCGGCTTCTGGGGTCTCTATGATGGGAGTTCTTCATGCCATGTCAAAACGGGCACAACAGAAGCCCCAAAGAGTAGCTTGCTGGGCTTGTGGCAAAGATGGGGAAGCAGACACCACCCCCGGCAAGATCCAGCCCTGCCCTGCTTCTCGCTCTGTGGGCCCCGAGAACGAGCCTTGCACAGAATCTGGAATAAACCTGCAACATGGTCAACGCTGTCCTCAGGCAGGGAGGTGGCACCAGTCCACGGTGCAGAAAGGACCCTTCCACCCAGGCCATGGTGCCCTGGGGCCCTGCAGAGCCCCTGGTCAGTGCACTGAGAGGGTTAACCCTCCCCCAGCCAGCCTCCCAGGATTGTGTAGTCCAGGGATGCTGGGAAGAAAGTGGGCATGGTCAGCAGCTCACGTCACATGCTCAAGAGTAAAACCAAGGTCCACCAGAGGTTTCGCGTCACCCGGCATGCCAGGATTTTCATTCTTACACCTGCTGTCCCGTGCCTGGACTGCCTCCTTCTCTCCCAGCCCTCTCCAGAGATGTCCCTGCCCAAGGGGGCCTTTCTCAAAGTCAGGCCAGGCCAGTGCCCCATACAGGGGCACATCAAGACACTCTCTGGCTCCACGGTGGTCACCACAGTTGGTGACAGATAAAATGGATAGACAGACTAATATCTTATTTCAAATACATGACATTGCAATGTGCTGTATTCTATATAACATATTTAACAAATATTTATGTGTGTGTGTACACGAGTGTGTGTGTACGTACAGTGCCATCTTTCTTTCTCCCTGTTAGGGGCTGAAGCGTGTCCCCTTCCCACCAACCCGCATGTTGAAGTCCTAACCCCAGATACCTCAGAACGTGACGTACTTAGGAAATAGGGTCTTTAGAGAGGCAATCAGGTTTGGCTGAGGTCATTTCGGTGAGTCCTAGTCCCATAGGACTGGTGTCCTTATGGAAAGGGGACACTTGGACACAGGCACACATCCAGGGAGAATCCCAAGTAAACATGAGGACAGCAACCTCCGAGCCAAGGAGAGAGGCCTAGAACAGACCCCCCCACGCCTGCTGACACCCGGATGTAGGACTCCATGCCTTTGGAACGAGGAGACGATAGATGTCTGCTTGTTAAACCTCCTGGTTTCTGGAACTTTGCCACTGCAGCCCTAACAAATGCACTCCTACCAGACGCTACCTCCTGGAGGTGCAGGAAACATCCCTCTTTTTAGGCATCACGAGTCCCTCACACATGGGACGGTGCATGGCAGGTGAAGGATGAACCAACTTGCTGGATGAGTCCGTGAATTCCCAGGAAGTCGGAGCCCGAGGCGGGTGTCCCATTCAGGAAGGGACACCCCAAGATGCCCCAGGAAGCTCTCATCTGCTCAGGAGGCTTCATTGTTTCCTGAAATTTGGTGGGGAAGTCAGCTCGGCCGTCCTGGATCCTGTCCCTACGTGTCCCCCCAGTCCTCTGCCCAAGTGGTGGATCCTCCCCTCGGAGGCCGCGGCCAGCCACTCCTTCGGTCTGGCCGGAAGCTTGGTGGCACTCCTGCAGTGTTGCCCTCCCTGGAAGGAGGGGGCACTGAAGCAACTCTTACATGTAGCCGCAACAGCAAGGCCAACGCAATTATTTAGCAACTACTACATACCAGGGACCTGGGATGAGTACTCCATGTGTATCTTCCCATCTAAAATTTAACAATAGGCCCTAAAAGATAGATTCCAGGGTCATTGCCTCTTCACAGGTAAGGAAATGGAAGCTTGGCGACCGGAGCTGGCCCACCCGTCTGGTAGGTTAAGAAACTGATAAGGGGTGACGCAGACTCCAGTCCTAGGAAGTAGGTCCTAAGGCCGGTGCCTGGCACAGACTACATGGTCACGGGTGCTCTGCCAGGCTGGCTCGGGGCCCCGAAGCTGACCTTGCCCAGGCTGAGCAGCCACAACAGACAGCCAACAGCGCCGCCCCTGCCGGCCACTCAGAAGCAAGTGTGTTTGCCGCCATGAACTCTCTCTGGACCCTGCGTATTCTCCTTGTTCCAGGGAGATGACCTTGAGGCTACGTCGGTTTACGATGGTGAACGTAAAACTTTATTTCTCACGAGCTCTCCTTGGCTGGAGTTGGGAGCAGCCGGGAGAGGCAGGGAGGTGCTGGACAGCACGAGCTGCTCCAGGCGAGATGGGCTCATGTTGCGTCTGCAGCGAGTTCGCGTTCGTTGCACAAGGCGCGGCCGGTACCCCTCGCAACTCGGTGACCACGGCAGCAGCCACGACGCTGCCTCTGAGCGAAGGAGAAATTGCCGCTCACCTGCACAGTTTCTGAAGTGTTGGGGCATTTATCAGTGATTCTGAGGACCCGGGGGAGTCGCCTGCCCTGTGGGGCCACGTGCTATGGCCACATTAACTCACTTGATAGCAACGCTTTTTCTAGTCACAAAATTTTGCTATTTTATGCATACGGCATTGTCAGATACGACATTTTGTCCTACGGGCCCCGGTGGCTCACGGAACATACAACATGGATGCAGCAGGAGGCCCCGACAAAGCCCTCGTCATTTCCAGTCTTTTCCCTCCTTCTCCAGAGACAGCAACTGCCCTGAACTTGGGGAGAGCATTCATGGTTTTCATACTTTCCTACATGTGCGCAGATCTACAAATAACATGGCACGTTGACTTCAACTTTACATGTGTGCTAATATAGAGCATATGTCCTGATGCAAACGGTATGTTTTGCTCAAAATATTTTTCATACTTTTAGATACATCTATGTTGAGATATATAACATACACGTTTTGTAAAATGTATTTGAACAGCTCTTTTTTTTCCCCATTTGTTGTCTCATGGTTTCCAAATCTGTGCTCTTACCAACACACTGCGCGGGCCCAGTGAATGGCTTCTCTAGGTCGCAGAGAAGTGGCTCTGCCAGGCCATCACCTGTGGCATCCGCAACACTGCTGGCTGTTGCCGAATTCGTATTCAACATGGCTGTAATAGTTCGCACTACGCCAAGCAGTCTGTGAACGCCTCCTCGACGCTATTCCTCTCCAGCACTCAACACTACAAAACTTTCAAATGCTGTCGCTCTGATGGATGGGAGTCGTGTCTCAGCGTTTTCATCTGCATCTCCCTGATGTCTAGCGGAATATTTTTCACAGGTATATTTGTGATTTAAGTCTTTTCTTCTGTAAAAGATCTTTCTGGACAACTCGCCCATTTTACTATTGGGTTGTTCATATTTATCTAATTGATTTGTAAGTATCTCTTTAAAATTCTGTACACTGCATCTATTTTCTCCTGGTCTTCGGTTTAGCTTTTATTTTGTTTATTGTGCAGCATCCTAATTTCCCCCTACCCACCAAAAAAATGTGAAATCTAGCAACGGTTTTCTTTATGGCTTGTAGTTTTCATTTAAGAAATTTTTCCGTGCCCCAAAGCCATAAGATGTTTCAGTATTTTCTTCAAAAGTTACGGAATTTTAGTTTTTATTTGTGTTTGATTTTTACGTATATGTGCCTTTTATAACTACTTTTTACAAAAACAGATTTACCTGGAATTTAGCTTGCATGTAGTCTATAGAAGGCAGGCATCTAATTTCATTTCAGTTTTCTATGGGGTAACCAGTGACCACAGCTCCACTCCGTGGGCCATGGGGTCTCTCCCCACAGGCGTGCCACACGCTACTCTGACATGCACAGTTCCTATGTTCACCCCCTGGGGGCCTCTCTCCGGACTCTGCGCTGACCGCTGCGCCCCACCGGCCCGCCTTCATTACCGACGCCTTAGCAACAGCCTCAAACCATGGCAGCAGGAGGATTCTGAAATCATATACAATAAAAGACGGCCCAATCCTAGCACAGAGTTTAAAAAATAAGTAAAAAAAAAAAGTAAACAGAGACACAGGAATATGTGATAGAATACTGAGTCGGCTGATATGCATATAATAGGAGATCCTGAAGTTTACAACAAAGGAAGATGGAAAAAACATATTAAAAATCACAAATGTCATATAGAGTATAAATTCATAGGTATAAGAAGCTCAGTAAACTCAAAGCGGGAGTTGACAGAAGACTGGGACTTTTCTTTGCAGAAGGACTTGATCCATCGCTCCAGAGAAGCTGGGGTTTGCGGAT